TTATGAGATCCTGGATGGAAAATACGTCCGTCGCGAACGTGACCACAACCAGATCATTGGATATGATGATATGAACCAACTCTTCTGGTACCCAGAGGGTATTGAGCGCATCGTGTTGGAGGATAAGACCCGACTTGTCGACATCCCAACTGCAGAGAGATGGACGAAGCTCAAGGAGGTCAACTGGAAAAAGGTGTTCTTCAAGACCTACAAGGAGACTCGTTCCTGGTTCCATTTGGTTACAAACTTCAACCGTATCTGGGTCATCCACTTGGGTGCTTTCTGGTTTTTCACGGCCTACAACGCTCCCACAATTTATACGCACAATTACCAACAGCAGCTGAACAACAAGCCACCACCTCAAAGGTATTGGTCGGCTGTTGGATTTGGTGGAGCCCTGGTTTCCTTCATCCAGATCTTTGCCACGATTTGTGAATGGATGTATGTTCCCCGTCGTTGGGCCGGTGCTCAGCACCTTACGAAACGATTGATGTTCCTTCTCCTGGTTTTTGTCATCAATCTGGCCCCTGGTGTCGTCGCCATCTGGTTTCTTGATAGCGTGAGCCCGAAGATTCCTCTCGCTATCAGTATCGTGCATTTCTTCATCGCCCTTGCAACGTTTTTCTTCTTTGCCATCATGCCTCTTGGAGGTCTGTTTGGCAGCTATTTGAAGAAACATGGACGTCAGTACGTTGCCAGCCAGACGTTTACTGCTAGCTACCCAAGGTTGAAGGGAAATGATATGTGGATGTCATATGGTCTCTGGGTCTGCGTCTTCGGTGCCAAGTTGGCCGAGTCGTACTTCTTCCTGACCCTATCTATCAAGGATCCCATTATGTATCTTTCACCATACCACCCCCATCATTGTGTGGGTATCAAGTACCTTGATGCCAAACTATGCCGTTATCAGCCTCAGATTCTGCTTGGCCTGATGTTCTTCATGGATTTGACGCTCTTCTTCCTTGACAGCTATCTCTGGTACATTATCTGCAACACCATTTTCTCGGTTGCTAGGTCATTTTACCTCGGTGTATCGATTTGGTCTCCTTGGAGGAACATTTTCTCGCGCCTACCGAAACGTATTTACTCCAAAGTCCTTGCCACTACCGACATGGAAATCAAGTACAAGCCGAAGGTTTTGATCTCCCAGGTCTGGAACGCAATCATCATTTCAATGTACAGGGAGCACCTTCTTGCCATTGACCACGTCCAGAAACTTCTGTACCACCAGGTGCCCTCCGAGCAAGAAGGCAAGCGTACCCTTCGAGCCCCCACGTTTTTCGTTTCGCAAGAGGACCAGTCGTTCAAGACGGAGTTCTTCCCACGCGGCAGTGAGGCAGAGCGCCGAATCTCATTCTTCGCGCAGTCTTTGTCAACCCCAATGCCCGAGCCTCTGCCTGTTGACAACATGCCAACTTTCACCGTCTTGATTCCCCACTATAGTGAGAAGATCCTCCTTTCCCTTCGTGAAATTATTCGTGAGGATGAGCCATACTCCCGTGTCACCCTCCTGGAGTACTTGAAGCAACTTCATCCACACGAGTGGGATTGCTTTGTCAAGGATACAAAGATTTTGGCAGACGAGACTTCTCAATTCAACGGCGATGAAAAGAACGAAAAGGATGCAGCGAAGAGCAAGATTGATGACTTGCCATTCTACTGCATTGGCTTCAAGTCAGCTGCGCCAGAGTACACCCTTCGTACTCGTATCTGGTCCTCGCTGCGTTCTCAGACTCTCTACAGAACTATTTCCGGATTCATGAACTATTCCAGGGCTATTAAGCTGTTGTACCGCGTCGAAAACCCAGAGGTTGTTCAAATGTTTGGCGGCAACTCCGAGAAATTGGAACGCGAACTAGAGAGAATGGCTCGTCGGAAGTTCAAGATCTGTGTGTCAATGCAACGTTATGCCAAGTTCACCAAGGAAGAACGGGAGAACACCGAATTCCTGCTCCGAGCCTATCCGGACCTTCAGATCGCGTACCTCGATGAAGAGCCCCCGGCCAATGAAGGTGAAGAGCCACGCCTCTACTCTGCTTTGATTGATGGACACTGCGAGCTTCTTGAGAATGGTATGCGGAAGCCCAAGTTCAGAATCCAGCTGTCCGGAAACCCGATTCTTGGAGACGGCAAATCTGACAACCAGAACCATTCGATCATCTTCTACCGCGGCGAATATATTCAAGTTATCGATGCCAACCAAGACAACTACCTTGAAGAATGCTTGAAGATCCGTAGTGTCCTTGCCGAATTTGAAGAGTTGACAACTGATAATGTTTCGCCGTACACGCCCGGTATTGCATCTGCATCGGAAGCTCCTGTTGCTATTCTTGGTGCCCGTGAATACATTTTCTCCGAGAACATTGGTGTACTTGGTGACGTTGCTGCTGGTAAAGAACAAACTTTTGGTACTCTCTTTGCTCGTACCCTTGCTCAGATTGGCGGAAAGTTGCATTATGGTCATCCCGATTTCTTGAATGGTATCTTCATGACGACTAGAGGTGGTATCTCCAAAGCCCAGAAAGGTTTGCATCTTAACGAAGATATCTACGCCGGTATGAACGCCATGATTCGTGGTGGCCGCATCAAGCACTGCGAGTACTTTCAGTGTGGTAAAGGTCGTGATCTTGGATTTGGCTCTATTCTCAACTTCACGACCAAGATTGGTACTGGTATGGGCGAACAAATGCTTTCAAGAGAGTATTACTACCTGGGTACTCAACTGCCCCTTGATCGGTTCCTGTCCTTCTATTATGCTCACCCTGGATTCCACATTAACAACATGTTTATCATGTTGTCTGTGCAAATGTTTATGATTGTCCTGATCAACCTGGGAGCTTTGAAGCACGAGACCATCAACTGCAACTATAACTCTGACCTTCCTGTCACCGATCCTCTGATGCCTACGTTCTGCGCCCCTCTTACGCCTGTTATCGACTGGGTCAACCGCTGTGTTATTTCGATTTTCATCGTCTTCTTCATTTCATTTGTCCCATTGGCGGTCCAAGAATTGACTGAGAGGGGAGTGTGGCGTATGGCAACTCGTCTGGCCAAGCATTTCGGATCTTTCTCTTTCATGTTCGAAGTGTTCGTATGTCAAATCTATGCGAATGCTGTCCATCAAAATCTTTCTTTTGGTGGTGCACGCTACATTGGCACGGGTCGTGGCTTTGCAACTGCTCGTATACCGTTCGGTGTCTTGTACTCTCGGTTTGCGGGACCATCGATCTACGCTGGGTCTCGTTTGCTACTCATGTTGCTCTTCTCGACCTCAACTACGTGGACTGCGTCTCTGATTTGGTTCTGGGTTTCGCTTCTAGCTCTGTGCATCTCTCCATTCCTCTTCAACCCCCACCAATTCTCCTGGAACGACTTCTTCATCGATTACCGAGACTATATTCGTTGGCTCTCGCGTGGCAACTCCCGGTCTCATGCATCGTCTTGGATCGGCTTCTGTCGTTTGTCCCGTACCCGCATCACCGGTTACAAGCGCAAGCTCCTCGGTGTGCCTTCGGAGAAGGGATCGGGTGATGTTCCCAGAGCTCGCATCACCAACATCTTCTTCAGCGAAATCATTGCTCCCCTGGTCCTTGTTGGTGTCACTATCGTTCCATACTTTTACATCAATTCTCGGACTGGTGTTTCAAGGAACGAAGACACAACTCCTGATGCCATTATCCGTATTGCAATTGTAGCATTCGGTCCGATTGGTATCAATGCCGGTGTTGCTGGTGCGTTCTTTGGTATGGCCTGCTGCATGGGTCCTCTTCTGAGCATGTGCTGCAAGAAGTTTGGTGCTGTATTGGCGGCTATAGCCCACGCAGTTTCCGTCATAATCTTGCTCGTTATTTTTGAGGTTATGTTCTTCCTTGAGAGTTGGTCTTGGCCGCGGTGCGTCATGGGGATGATCGCCATGGCCGCTATACAGCGCTTCTTCTACAAGCTTATCATCTCTCTTGCTTTGACACGAGAGTTCAAGCATGATCAGTCTAATATCGCCTGGTGGACTGGAAAGTGGTACAACATGGGTTGGCACTCGCTTTCTCAGCCCGGCAGAGAATTCCTTTGCAAGATCACGGAACTGGGTTACTTCTCAGCGGACTTCGTCATCGGTCATATTGTCCTATTTGTCATGCTGCCTGCCCTGTGTATCCCCTACGTTGACAAGTTTCACTCTGTCATTCTCTTCTGGCTGCGTCCGAGGTAAGATATCCCACTGTGGCCCTTTTTGATAGTTCGTTTCTAACGTAAATATAGCCGGCAAATCCGCCCTCCGATTTACTCGCTCAAGCAGTCTAAGCTTCGAAAGAGACGGGTGGTTCGTTTCGCCATCTTGTATTTCGTTATGCTTGTCCTGTTCCTTGTTCTCCTCATTGCGCCCCTGATTGCTCGCAACCTAGGTGTAGTAAATCTTGACGACATAGCGGGCAGCAACGATTTGCTCAAAGAGCTACTCCAGCCTCTTGACAAGAACAACAACGACACTATGTCCAGTTATACCGGCTCTGGTATCCCCAAGGGTATGGAGCCTGTTGCGTCGCCCGGCACCTACAAGTTCTTGTAGAGATCGCCCGGTCTCTTCCAACTACATTCTGCTACATTATTTTGTTTGATATGAAACATGGAAACGAGATGTATAAAATGTCCAGCGCATTAGTGTCGCTGTTGTGTTGAGCCCGTTGATTATGTTTCTCATTCCTTGTTATTTCCCTTCTCGCCGGAATCTCCACGGGAGATGGTTCCTGTGAGATTTAATGGATGCAATATTTATCGGCTTGTTTTGTATTCGCAAGGTGTATTGTTGTTTTGTCCATTCTGTGAAATCATTAGACTAGCAAATTTCCATATATTCCTCTCGTTTATCTTTAAAATGTGCCCAATGTAAAAGTTAGTAGTTAACCGTGGCTCAAATGGAAGTCTGGGGCAACTTGATCCTCTGTCACGTGCCGGGTTTACTCGGAAATCGAGACCGCGTACTTGGTTTGAAACCACCATAATCAGTACTTCAGCCCATACAACCCTTTCGATTCCCCTTTCATTTCTTCTTCCTTGGGTTGATGGTATCATTCTTATTGTGAAATTTTTGCTACCGTCTTTGGGCTCCTTTCCCCCTTGCGCTGAGTGCGCGTCTGCCGATTCCTTTTCATCATGGATATCCAGGAGACCCAGCATCTCCTTTCCGAGTATCTCCATGAGTTTGCCAACCTTTTCCATCGCGTTCCAGGGTCAGCGATTTTCTTGCGCTATGTGAAGTCTAGTTATCAGAACGACCCGATTCGCTCCGCTGTCGAGTTGTTCCTATTCCTGTTCGCCGTCCGCTATTTGCTCGCCCCAAAATATTCCACCAAGCCTGGTGTGGTCCAACTCTCGGAGGATGAAATCGATGACCTGGTGGACGAATGGACGCCAGAGCCGCTCGTCGGAAAGGCAACTCCGTTAGAGGAAATGGAAGTCGAGAAGAGAACAGTAATTGTCGGGTATTAACCTTGAAGCCCTACTACCTCCTACCACCCGGCAGTTTTGCAGTGCTGACGCCTAGAAAATTATACAGTCCCGTTGGTCCTAAGTCAAAGCTATCGAACGGTCGAACGGTGACAAATCTTGGATCTTACAATTTCTATAACTTCAATACGAATGAGGCGATCAAAGAGAAGGCGATCCAGACACTCCGCAACTACGGTGTTGGTCCCTGCGGCCCCCGCGGTTTTTATGGTACTCAGGATGTCCACATGAAAACCGAGGCTGATGTTGCGTCCTACCTTGGTACTGCGTCTTGCATTATCTACTCTCAGGCGTTTTCGACCATATCTAGTGTGATCCCCGCGTTTTCGAAGCGTGGAGACATTATCGTTGCGGATAAGGGCGTGAACTTTGCTATTCGGAAAGGTATTCAGATTTCTCGGAGTACGGTCCGGTGGTATGAGCATAATGACATGGAGGATTTGGGCCGGGTTTTGGCCAAGGTCACCAAGGAGCAAGCAAGAAAGCCCCTAACCCGCCGATTCATCATTACTGAAGGCTTGTTTGAGTCATACGGTGACATGGTTAACTTGCCTAAGATCGTTAGTCCCCTTCTTTTGTACCTTTGTTTCTTTTTCTTTTGAACCACGTAACTGACTGGGAGTCTAGATCGAACTCAAGCTGAAGTACAAATTCCGACTAATCCTCGACGAGTCCTGGTCATTCGGCGTTCTCGGGAGGACAGGACGCGGCATTACTGAACACCAGAATGTGGACGCAGCCGAGGTCGACATGATTGTGGGTTCGCTGGCCGGCCCACTGGTAGCAGGAGGAGGATTCTGTGCGGGCTCAGAGGAGATTGTCCATCACCAGCGTATCTCGGCCGCTGCCTATACGTTTTCGGCCGCTCTTCCTGCGCTTCTATCTACGACCGCCAGCGCTACGATCAATGTTCTGCAGAACAACCCTGAAACAGTCTCGCAATTGAGGGACCTTACAAAAGTTATGTGGACCCAGCTTGACCCTCGCAGCGATTGGGTATACTGCACAAGTGCACCTGAGAATCCGATCATGATTCTCGTTCTCAAGCCTGAAGTGATTGCTGCAAAGAGGCTTTCCCATGAAGACCAGCAATTTGTGTTGCAGGATGTAGTAGACGAGGTATGATCTGCTCTTCACCTAAATAATTCCTGTGAAAAGTACTGACTTCTCTCAACTAGTGCCTCGCGAACGGTGTCTTGATCACGCGCCTCAAGTGCCTTGATGATAACTTCGAGCCAAAGCAAAAGGTTCCGGCCGCCCTGAAGGTGTGCGTTACGATCGGCTTGACCAAAAAAGAGACCGAGAAATCAGGAACTATCATCCGTCATGCGATCACGAAGGTTCTCAGCAGAAGAAAGTAATAGCAGCAACTTGCCATTTGTTCAGAACGTGGTCATGACCTCCTTAACGCGACCATGATTATAGCTCGCCCGCTCTTTCTTCTACCCGATTGATGATACTTCCTCTTACACCATTCTTGTATAGAGTAAAATTTCTGCGCTGACGCTTTGCTTCGGGCTCAACTGACTGCGCTTCCGCGCGACTATGGGATTGTGGCACCGAGCCGAAGTACTTGTACTATGGATATACACGCCAGCTCCTCTTCATTCTCCTCGCGGCCAGCGGAATTAACACCCTACCCACTACCTAATAATAGTTTCGTGTCGAACTTGTCTTCATCTTTTTTTTTTTGGGAGCCCTTCTTCTGGCTCCTGTTGGCACTGTTGCATTATTAGAGCTTATATTATTTAATCAAAATGAGTTTCTTTCTTGTTATTTTCTTTTTTCTTTCTTTGTAAATTAGTCAATACTCAATATGTTTAGGTTGTAGGTAAAGTCCATGTGGCCATGTCCTAAATGCCTTAAACTTAAAGTTTTCCACGGACGTTGTTGCCCTAAAGGCTACCAAGTAGTCAGCGGTGCACTAACTACGTAGTCAGGTTACTTGATCGCCGAAGAAACTCAAGAGGATCTACCAAGATGTAAATTCCCTATGTAACAACATTATTGAGAAGAACTTGTTGTCACCTTTGGCAAGAGCTGGGTAGTTCAACCGTGTCAATGTGCATTAAATGCACTCGCTGAACTAAAGCTAATCAATCCTAGTAGTTAACAGTAAATCACAGTGACCGGCACCTTGATACTAATGAAATAGATGATTGAACACGCTGGTCGAGATGCATATGCAATAAAGGGCAGGAGATTCACGAACGCCCAAGAGAGAGAAAGAGAAGAACGGACTGAACACCCTCATCAAGCTAGTTAACCTGGAAATGGGAGTAACGAATGGTCAATGATTCCCAATCCCCCAAAACTTTTCTGCACCAAACGTCCACTCATTATCTTCCTTCCAAAGGTCGTCAAACGCACTGAAGAGAACGAGATCGCCCTGCTCGTTCTCGAAAGAATGGCGCAGACTGTCGATGGCCTTTCGTTGGTTATCTGGATTCGGTATGGCTTTTCCATTGTTTTGCCCGGCGTGCGGCCACCCTGACTCGGTTATCATTGTGCGTTTACCGCCAGAAATTGCAGACAGGCGACGCGCGATATCGCGGACGTAGGAGCCGGCGTTCGCTGGTGTTTGATTTGCGTCAAAGAAGGCGTGGCAGTTGGCGGCGCAGTAATCTGAGACACCGCATAGTTCGGGGTTTTCGAACACCTTGGAGAATGTATCAACCGTTACAACGGGCCCGTTGTACCCTCGGCCACGGAGGTAGGCACGGGCGTCAGCGACAGCATTGATGACCTCGTCGGCGGAATTCTGCTGACGGTTGAGGAGCTCATTTCCGATTGAGACAGTGTGGAGAACAGAAAGGTCCGGCTTTGCCGCGTCAATGATCATGTCGAGACTGGAATGGAGCTTCTGAAGGTCATAGAGACCTGCGAAAACTTTCATCTGGTGACGGCGTGCGGCAACGATAACTTTACGGGTTTGATCGCAGTCTATACCGTAGATACGGATGAAGGAGTAATGGCTTAGTCTATCGACATCCTTGTTTACCTGGGCTTGGTCTTTGCAGGTGTTATCAGCATTGTAAGGTGAGTACGAAATCCCAAAGCGCCGGGGGCTTCCTTTGGGTTCAGCGTTTTTATCTTGTGGGAGATTGTCGTTCACTTTTTTGTTGGCATTGGCATCGGCTGGGAGCGTAGGCTCAAGGTTATGCGGTGCCTCTGTATCAGGAACAGCTAGGATAGGAGGAAGAGTAGCAGGCGCCTATATCAGGAGTTAGAATCGTTGACCGTCATAATACATGTTACATGTACAAATACTTGCATTGTTGGCAGTTGCAGTTGGAGCGATGGTTTCAACAGAAAGAGTCCGTCCATTTTCGTCAACGGTAACTTCGATTACTGCTTCGGGAGCAGAGATGGTGCCCTCAGCCTCAATAGGGATAGCAGCAGCAAGATAGCTGAGCAAGAACACAGAAAGGAGGATAATCCACTTCATTTCTTGTCAAGGGTAATGGATCGCCTGCGTTTTGGTTGGCGTGGTTGCTGTTTTGTTTCAAAAGTCGTGCGACGACCGAGCGTCGGATAGGGACGAGAGTGGGAATAGCTTTAGCAACAAAGGAGAAGAATGGCAATGAGGACGTAGAGAAGAAGAAAATTTATGCTAGATGCAGAATGGGTCTCCGCTAGAAACTGATAAACACCAAGCAATTCACTCTATCATCATTCATAGTGGAGTGGGATGGGACTGTTCGAGGCCTCTTCTCACTTTTGGGTTAGGTTCAAACTTGGGGAAATGAGACTTTAGATAGCAGATCGGTAAAGACCGCGGGGAGAATGTGGTAGATGAATCTCGATTTCGTAGGAATGCTTGCCTCATACTTCGTTGAGCCGGGGTGGTGTGGAATGAGCCAGCATCCCATCCCTTCATTTTTGGTCGACTTATCCAAGGCACACATCGCAGAATCGTTTTATGCGGGCTTCTTAAAGCAGATGAGAAATGCAGTCAAGGTTTCTTGGAAACTCGAAGGGAGGCTTCTGCCGATATGAGCATCCTTCTTGAGACTACTTTTGCTGGTATCGAATCGGAAATAAATCTCATTGTGTCGGTGCTGAGCTTGATGTGGAGCGTCAGTACAAGACATCATACTTTCGTTAGATGCTTCGCATACCTGAAAGTGTGTGATCTCCTATCCAGATCGGTTGCCGGAGTGGCGCAAGGTGGGAGCTATCTAGGTATGCAGGTATTCAAACCCCATTCTATCGCAATCAAACTAAAACCAAGCCCGAATAAAAAACTTAACCAAGAATCACCCTCCAAATAAACCCCAATCTGCAACTTCCAATTTCCCCGTCAACTCATCAATAACCCCACTGGCTAGCTCCTCCTCTTTGGACAGCCCTCTTGGGTCCCCCTTCTCATTAAACTCCTTGTGCGGGACGTTGAAGAAAACCAAAACATCGCTCTCCTGTTCCTCGAGCCTGACAAGCAGATAATGAACAGTCACGCTTGATTCTAACCCTCCATCCGTGCTCGACCCGGCAGTAGCACCTCCGATAGACGGCGCAACACCGGAGCGCGGCGTGAGCGATGTCATCTGTGCCACACCTTTATATGCTCTCGCACCAGGTATCTTCCGCATAGAGACATGGTGGGGCGGAGTTACAATTCGCAGGATATCGCCATCATTGTCACGGATATCATGCAAATGGTACAACGCTGCCGCTTTATCGATGGTTTCTGGTGTAGCTTCGGGATTGGGCCCTAGAATCTCGAGGACTTCCTTGTTCGGGGAAGATTGTAGGGCAGAGAGAGCTGTTTCCTGTGAAACACGCTCGTTGATTTCGAAAATGAGACTCGAAAGGGTGACAGGGGACAAGAAAAGTTCCTGGTGGTCTGGAATTTGACGTAGGTTGCTATTGCGGACGGCTGTTAGTTGAGCGGGATGCTTGATGGTGGGGTAGTTTGGTTGGCGTTACCTTGCGTCGAGCCAGGTCTCTGGGGTTATAGCTTTTATGGCCCCGCCGTAGAGATCTTGCGATTTGAATGTGGCCATGGTGAAGTGTGGAATGAATATTGAAGCTTGAAGAAAGGTATGTTACGAAAAAAGACTTGCAACTGGCGACCCCTCCATGGCTGCTGATAAGGTTGCTGCCCCGCCCAGGCTCCAGCCAGGCTCCCGCTCCAACAGCAGCTTTCCGCATTCAGTAGCAAGCTCTTGAGTCTCTTTGAGCTCCAGTCTATGATTATAACTGCGCCCCAGCGTTCCAAAAAGCTTCGTTCTTGGTCCTAGAGATCATAGTGAGGGGTTCATTTATCTGGCTAGGTAGTCAGGCGATCGAAGCACTAAAAGTGATATCTATCCAGTTTCACCAAAAATTGGTTGAAGGTTGTACTATTTGTATTTCTACATATTGAAAAGCTCCTCGACGTAATCATCCAAAGCAATCATTCGGAACTGACTTCCCCATCGAGAGCGAAATTCTTTCTTCTGATAAGCATAGCTTGTCACTTGGGAGAAGCTAACCAGCTCAATCTTCCAGCCACGTTGAAGGGCTCGCTCAACCATTCTCATGAAGCCACCGGAAAACTCCGCTTCAGCAGCGTCTCCTGTGGCCAGCACGATCGTTGCCGGTTCATCCGTATCCAACAGGCTTTCCAGGATCTTTAGGTGTAGAATTTCGTCCACCCCTTGCTCGACCCAACGCTCCCCCGGACCATCGTTCGTCTCAGAACTATGGCCACCGTCGTGGGGCGTCACCTTAGGATTTTCTCGGAACTTCAACTGACGAGAGGTGAGCTGTTTGATTTTTTGCACTCGGTTTAAGATGTTTGCTTCGTAACCGAGCTGCTCGCTTTCGCTTATAGCTGCGATTCGGTCGGAGCCAACAAGGACTCTTTTCGCTGCTGGCCGCCCGCGTTCTAATATCAAGGAGAAGTTTTGATAGGAGAGGGGAAGGCGGCGAATCCTGGTCTGAACAGGTATGTTTCGCGCGATTTTCATCGTATCGTGAAACCCAACCATGATCTTTTAGACTAGTTAGCTAATTCAAAACAGTACATGGTGTATGAAGCCACTCTTACATTTGACATATCAACAAAGACATGTACTGGGCGGAACGAAATATCATGTTTCTTTGACTCCTTCGACCGCCCAGCTTCAACAAGGTGTTCTGCATAATCGGGAAAATTCTTTAAAAGTTTGGTCAAAAGTCCAACCCGCTGATCTGCTGCGGTTTTGTAGGCAAGTGGCTGTAAACGAGGCACCCTGGCGGTGGGAGGACATTTGAGAGGGTTCGGAGGTAGAAATTCATTTTGCTCATCAAAAGACGATGGGGGTGTCTCGAGAGATCCTGCTCTGGCTTCTGGAACACCGACCTGCGGTGGGATCATTGGAATGTTTCGCGGACGTGACAGTGGAGGGTCAAAAACACTGGGAGAGCTATCTGACTCCCCTTCAGCGTTGCTTTCTGATACTGTAGCTTCATTGCTGGTTTTATTTCGCTGGCTGCGCCGTCGCGTCGCCACGCTTGACTCGACGCGAGTCGTGCCATCATGTGGACGTGGCCGAGGATCGTAGATGCCGGCGAAGTTAGGTACTGGTGCTGGCTTCGCGGGGGTTTTGGACGTCGACACTGGTGTTTCAACCAAGGCGCTTGGAACCGATGGCCGTTTGAGTATAACGGTAGGTTGCGTGTGCAGGCAAGACTGCTGTGGTAACCCTCGAACCTCGTTACCAGTGGTGTTACCCTTCGAGGCAGTTGGCGTACTAGGGGTACCCAGTAACTCCCACAGAGAGCCAAAGTCTCCTAGCTTGGGAGAGTTGACGCTCGCATCCTTCAGCGGTTGTTTCTGGGTTCCTAGTTTTCCAACGTCATTGACAACCCTGTGTGACGCATGTGAAGACACGGGACAATCCGTGGGGCTTTTGCGGGTCGATTGAGCCTCGCCCTGACATGACGGTGATTGTAAGAGGTCAATCACCGGAGTGAAATCCCAGTTCGAAGTTGATGCAGACGATGATATCATTGACAAATTCCACAATGTTTTTGGTGGTTGGGATCTTTGGGATCTATTCTTTGGTTCCTGTGTATCTTGATGGGCGGCGCCTAATCTCACGGTGAAGGCGACCGTCGTTGATAAAACAAGGTTAATGATTAAAACGCAAATAAACGACTAAAGCTTGTAAAAATATTGACTGAAGCGACACAGATTAACATGATGGAAGTTGCGAGACTAGAAACGATTGTGAGAAACGACAAGGTATCACTCTTGTTTATGGCGGGATGACTCTTCGCTGTTGGGCGAGATGACTGGAGGTGGCGGTGCCATTTGGTCCCAAGCGTACCGCCTTCCTTATACGTACTAGAGGCAGTTCTTAATATGGAATGGCCACGATTTCGGGCATTGGAGCCCCGGAGAATGAAAGTTCCAGAATCCACGCGATAGAAGACACTAGTCTAAATTAAGCTACGCACTCGGCATGTCATTTTTACGTCATGTCGAAACCAAGGCATAGCCACCTGCAACCTCAGGCCAACAATGATGGAATCGGGGTGATGATCTTCGATGACGGTCGACCCAGGTAACCGCCCTGGCCGGCCCTGCATGATCAACGCCGATTCGTGGCTGGACTCTGTGACGTGCTTTCATGAGCTGATGACATACCGGGATCTTTGCCCATTGGCAGTGGACATGAACAAACCTTGGAATTGTGTCTCTGAATTCAGAAATGTCGACGTCATATTTGACTGTTCAGTTGAGAGAAAGGAACACCCAGGGGAAGTCCAGAAAGTTATATAAACCCGTTCCTCGACCGCTCTTCAAGATCTATATCATCACCACAATCACAACTACTATATCCACTGAACTCATCGAACTCTTCAATCTCAATCCACCAAACAACAAACATGTCTGACACCGGCCGCAAGGATTTCACTACCAGTAAGCTCGAGACCTCCAAGAATGCTGTGAAGAAAGGCTTGGAATACTAATAAGTCTCGCAGAGGCCCAGGAGAAGCTTACTCCTGATGCCACCAAGTCCACTCAAGACAAGGTCAAGGAGACAGTTACCGATACAACCGACCGTTTCACCCGCGGTGCTCAGTCCGATGAAGACAAGGGCGCAGCTCAAAAGTTCTTCGACAAGGGCCAGCGCGCTCATGACAATGAGGCCCACGGTGGTGCCACCGAGACGATGTAAGTAGCACTGATGATATGCTTGTGCTTTTCCCAAATTGGTGCTAATACCCGTTTGCAGTGGCGACAAGGTCAAGAACGCCGTTGGCCTTGGCGGTGATAAATAGAGCGTGATCACCTGTCAGGTGTTACTATGATTATTGGTTTTCGATTCATGAATGTGTTAATGAGTTTGATGATACCATACCTTAGGTAGTCTCTGCCAGTACATTAGGCCTAATGTCATATATTGAAGCTATCAATTGATTGTCCATAATTGTGCATCTTCCACTCGCAGTGGTGGGTTGATCACCGGTCCACCAGGTTTTCAAACATTGAGTCGCGCTCCTGAGTAAGTTGGTTCAGCTCCGTTTCTAGGTCTTGATACTTGGCTCGAGCGCTGGCTATATCCTTGGGAAGGTCGTGAAACATCTTGATCTTGATTTCGAGACTTTTGATCGACTCTATCATTCGGCCAACCTCATCCTCTTCCAACATGACTTTCTCAAGGGTGGCTCCTTTGTTACTATTCCGCTCCAAAGCTGTAGTTCGATCCTGGTACTCATTGACCTTAGAGTTAAGTAACTTAGTACTCCGAGTCCATTCAGATGTAAGCGCTGGAAGATTGGCGGGGGTCTCAAACGCAGGGTCCGACTTGAGTTTATCAAGATGTTCCCCCAAAGTAATAAGTTCCCTTTCAAGATAGTCATGTAAGCTTTGGACCCTTCTCATTTGCTCTTGCGCTTCGAATTCTTCCTTTGTAAGTTCGATTACCGACTGGCCGACGTCAGTTGTTTTCGTTCCCAGCGTGCCCAAGACGGCAATAGTTTCTGCAAGGTCCTCGAGGTTGCCAGCTCCGGTGTCATCTAGGCAGTGTTCCACTTCATCAAGAATCTCCACCTTCTGCAATTCCTCTGATTTTTCTCGAGCCTTGAACCCCTCAATTGTCTGCTCGCGAGCATGGTTGAGCACCGCTGCCTCCTCGTCTGCTGCTTCGTTGGCCGCGGCCAAGGCTAGCAGTGTTCGTAGAGTATCTTCGTTTCGTTCGAACTTTGGAATGGGATTCGGCGCGTAGTGACGGTTTAACCAAGAATTCACAAATGCCCAGTCTTTGGCTTGAATGGCGGCTTGACGTGCCTTGGTTGGGGAAGCCAGCGGACTGTCCATGAGGGGGGAGCAGGAGACGATTGCCGTATATAACGATTAAATTGAAACGGGCTTGATAAGTTGAAGATGCCAGTCGCAGATTGAGCAGTCAGCCCGTTTGTGGACGGATTAGTTCTTTGAATGAGGTGGCCGGGCAATGTTGTTGATCCGCCGCAATCTTTCTCTCTCCGCCTCCGCCTCCTCACGATCGTCCGCTGGCAACTCCGTTGGACAATCTACAAACTGAGTATCAGCCCCCCATGGCTACCGGTAGCTATTTCCCACCCTCTGGAGGCCCCTCGGGTCTATCGCCTCGGACGTCCTCACCGGTTTCGTCGTCGCCCCTTTCCCCTCCGCTTCAACAGCAGCGCTCCAATGCCTTATCGAACCGATTGACAAGTGTACTCTCCGTGTCGTACGCAGATTCGGATATACGCGATGCACTCGAAACTCTTAGCCTGCGAGGCGTTCATAATACGGCGGAGGTGCGGAGGCAATTGCGCCTCGATGTACAGAAGGAAGTAGTAGACTGCAATGCAGAGATCGTGAGGGACTTTGGCAATGTCGCGGAGGTGAGCGGCCACTGTCACCAGACGACGCGGGGCTACAACGCTGAGTGAATTGTATGCTGACAATTCTGTAGCAATTAAAGCGCATAGGGACAGTCATATCGAATTTGAAGGAAACATGCGATGAAATGCGAAAACACATTGTGCTAGCTAGGCAGGATACCGCCCCGGTTTTAGAGGAAGCATCTGCTCTGATGAGCCAGAAGCAAGAAGCCGAAACAAAACAACATCTGTTAGATGCATTCACGAAGCATTTCATCGTTTCAGAAGATGAACTCCTGACCTTGACATCAGTCGAGGAGCCGATAAATGACGAATTTTTCGATGTCCTCGCACGGGTGAAGCAAGTACATCGCGACTGTGAAGCTCTGCTGGGTGCGGAAAACGAGAGACTTGGCCTCGAGCTCATGGAGAAAAGCTCTCGGAGCCTGAACTCTGCCTATCAGAAGCTCTACCGATGGATTCAAAAAGAATTCAAGTCACTGAATCTCGAGGATCCTCGAATCAGCAGCACAATCCGACGGGCACTGCGGGTACTGGCTGAGCGACCAAGCTTGTTCCACAGCTGCTTGGACTTCTTTGCAGAGGCCAGGGACTATGTCCTGTCGGATGCTTTCCATTATGCCCTGACCGATGCAGTCTCCGGGCGCGATAGTGCTGTGAAGCCTATCGAATTCTCGGCCCACGATCCGCTGAGATATATCGGTGATATGCTCGCATGGGTGCACTCCACTACAGTTTCAGAACGGGAAGCTTTAGAAGCTCTGTTTATTGCTGATGGGGATGAGCTAGCGAGAGGAATTCAAGCAGGTCTAAGCAGCGAGCCGTGGGCTCGAATTGACGAAGACGAGGAAATTACGTTTGACGGACAGAAAGCCCTCAGTGATCTTGTAAGCCGCGACCTCATTGGTGTTGCGCGTTCACTACGCCAGCGGGTTGAACTGGTCATTCAAGGGCATGATGACCCCGTCACTTGCTATAAAGTTATCAACCTGCTCTCTTTCTACCAGACTACCTTTTCCAAACTCATGGGCCCGAATTCAAACCTTGCGGAGTTGCTCCAAGCTCTCGAAAAATTCACCTTGGGCCATTTTGAAACAATAATGCGCGACGAAATCGGCAACATTTCAACAGACCAGGCGGCCCTGATTGCCCCAGAAGATCTATCGGCACCACAGTTCCTCCAGGACTCGCTGGAGGTCCTAACTTCATTGATGAAAACCCATGAAGCATCCCTCGGAACAGAGGATCCCAATGGCGCACCCGAAAACAAAGAGAACAAGTTCACGCCAGTCCTATATGCAGCCCTCGATCCATTCTTCAATATCGCAAAGTCCTGTGCGGACGAACTCCCCAATTCTACGGCTCGCGCAATTTACCTAACAAACATCCACATCACCACCCGTTCTTCCATCTCCCCCTATCCCTTCGCAGCTGCAACACATCTCTCTCCACTTTCATCCGCCATCTCTACGCTTCGCGTCGACCTTCTTGGGATCCAGCATCGCTACCTCCTCGACGCTTCTGGCCTCCAAGTCCTCCTAACATCCCTCCAACCGTTCTCCGATCGCTCAGCGCCGGGTACAAAAGAGCAAGATATCGCAGCGATTGCGACCCTCCCAGAATTCCAGCCCGAAGCGCTTATCGCAATCAGCCAACAGTTGGACGACTTCCTCCCCTCCGCACTTATGGACGCCACCGATAATCTGAAGCGCTTACAGAGCGCGTCATTTGTTAAGAGTGTCACGGAGGAAGCAGTTGAGGCTTTCTGCCGGGACTTCGAGTTTGTAGAAGGGATGGTCATCGGCGCCGATGAGGGGAGGAATGTTGGCGAGGCTACTGGTGCAGTCAAAGAGGACAATGAAGGCGAGGAGAGTGATGAAGAAGAGGAACAGGAGAGAAGCTTGAGGAGGTTATTCCCGCGTACGACGGGGGAGATCCGTGTATTGTTGAGTTGATCTACATCTCTCTCTCCCTCTCTTTTTTTGTCGGACCTTCCTGTGGTGGACGCCGGATATGTTTGATAAAATACCTTGAGAGTATAGCTTTTGACATATATATTCCATATTATAGTGCGGAAATCCGTTTTGCTAGCGCTTGTAAGACAGCTCATTGATTACTTGGAACAAACACAGGAGGCCTTATATAGGGCTTCTTGGAGAAAGCAGACATATATTTGGTTTCATAGCAGACAATTCTACCCCCGCTTCACCATAATCCCAAATGGATCGCGATCCTTCTCACTAACGTGAACCTCAACACCGCTGTCCTCATATACCTCCTTCAGGCTCGCCTCAGCGGTCTTCCCCTCCTCACCCCTCAACCCCTCCCACTCCTCCTTCAGAGCCGCCCCAAGTTTATCCTTCATAACAGCCCTCAAATAGCCCCTCTCTGTATTCGAATGCGCAAGCGCAACGACCACCGAACCACTCTCGATTGCAAACAACGTCTCATGGTGACTCATCTCACCCGTGAACAGGAGATCAGGGATCTGTTTCACACCCTTCATCAATATACTGGACCCCGAGCCGGGACAGACGCCGACGGTGCGGATTTTCATATTGTCAACAGAGGCGGATTGCGGGATGGCGATGGGAATGCCGCCGGGGTAGCCTACACCGCTGGCAATGTTGTCGATAACAGTGGTCAGGGGCTGGGGGTCGTTGAATGTGACGAGGCGCCCCATCCCGGCATCTTCTAGGCCCTCGGGAACCGGGGCGGGAGAGGGATGGATTGTGCTTCGTGTATGGGGGATGGTGGAGGTTGAAGATGAGACGGGGCCAGGCTGTGGGTATGTAGGAGCTGAGTAGAGCTTGGAGGACGAATTTGGAACTTCTGATGTGGCCTTCGAGGGCGATGGGGTAATTGCACCGGTGACGATGTCGCACAGCCAGTCGCCCATTCCGCCGGGGGTTGCATCGACGGCTGTGTGTGGGGAGTAGACACTTATGCCCTCCGATGCGAGACGAAGGAGGGATTGTTGTTGCGGGTCATTGAATGTGAGGGATTTCAGGCCGCGGAATATAATGGGATCTGGTTGTGAAGTATTGGTGAGCTTAACTTGTACGATATGAGATGATGTTGCTTGGGGGTTGCGCACGGTAGGCTACCACGACCGAGTCTTTGCGAGCGATGGCCTCATCAGCAACGGCCTTGGTTAGGTCAATGGCCAAGAGTACCGAGTTCTTTTGTCTTCGCGCATGGTTAAAGGGAGCTTCGAGGAGTACTTGATCGACGTTAGCTGGCTGCTAGGTTGTAATTAAAACATAACTAACTCACGGCCTGTGTTATCAAAGCTCTTGTCTGCTAGCGACTCTGGGTAGCTTTAACGGTCAGCAATCTCCTGGCGCAAACAATGAATCGAAGCTCGAGCATCGGTCTCCGAATAAAGTCGCGGGGAACTTACATCTTCCTCATGGAGCTGACCACTGCCCGTGTAAACGGGGATGAGCTTGGTGGTAAAGACGCAGACATGGCGGAGAACAAACGTGTTGCAGTGCGGCTCATAAATGATTAAAGTATGGTTGAAATATGGCAAAGGTATTGGTATTGAATCCCGCGACTTGTTCCAGAGCTTGAGATTCATTCGATTTGACGCCAGAGGGGAAGCTGGCGCCACAGTTGGTGCCTGAGGCTTAAATCCAGCTCTAAAAGTTCATCCCACCTCTTCCGCTAAAAGTTCACCTCACCTTGCTGACTAATTACTTATGTAATAAGAGGTGAGCTGAGCTTCTTACAAAACAATACTGACCAACTAACCTTAGTACAACCCCCAACACAACCCATAATTTTCACTTAAATGAAGATTGATAAGATTATCGATAACTGTTTGATCATCTTGAAGATTGAACTCCATGATAACTGGTTAGAAACTAGTCATGAGGCACTTGGTAAGATATCGGTGGAGGTGGGTTGAATTCAGAAAACAGAAGGGGTAAGCTGAACTTTATAGAGCAGTGGGCTGACCTGTATCCTGGGTGAACCAATCAGCGACCTTTGCAAGTCAAGTCGAAGTATGGTGACAGACTCCAGGTCGCTGACCTCTCCGATACCTAAGTAGAATCATAAATATCCTGTTTCACATATCTAGTCACTTATAGATCTGGACTATTTTCTTTGTGAAACATATTTTTTACGCCAGATACATGACCATCTTCAATCATTTGCTTCACCGGAGGATATATCTCCTGCATGCACGCACGGAGAAACCCGATGCTGTCCCCTTACTTCTCGTACATGGGTGGCCAGGCCCTTTCTATAGATTTAACGGAGTCTGGGGTCCTCTATTCCACCCCAAGAACAAGCTTGACCCGGTATTCCTAACCACCAGCTATCTGAAAAGCAGCACATTTCCAGCAGAACCGTAATCTTATGGAGCTCAGACCTTCAAAGTTATACAGGTCATGTCCTGCATAGCTCCGTGGTAGGTAATTTTGGGATAATGCCTTCAAATACGCATGCTCTTTAGAATATAGGTGGTGTATGACCCACCAGCAAGCCTTATCCGGTCAATAACCAGTAAGGACTGAAAGCGAAGGCCCTCAATCTTGAGATTCCCCAAAGGGGTGACCGACTGTTAAAGTTGTTTGGAAATTCGATACGACAATTGACTCGGTTGGCCCCGCGAGTCCCATTGACAATCTGATCCAGCCAGTCACAGAAGAAAACGAAATCCGAACCGAGATTTCTCTTTCTCCGTGAAGTTTATTTGACGTCATGGATGGCAGACCCAATATCATCGACATTACTAATTGCGATAACTGACTTGTAATTTGGCCTGTCTATTAAAGTTTCTCTGCCACTGTATCTTTGATTCAGTATCTAAAAGGACGTAGTATATTATTAGAAATGACGTTGAAGGGCAAGAATGTTCTTATTGTAAGGCGCCTTTCCCCACAGTATTTACAAGTCTCAGCTGTATCTAACGCTCGCTGAAGACGGGAGCCTCCATGGGTATTGGTGAAGCACTCGCCCGAAGAGTCACTTCCGAAGGGGCGAACGTTGCTTTATTTGCGCGGTCGAAGGTGAGCCACGCTGGTATTTGTCTCAAGCAACGGGCGAGATCTAATTATCAGCTAGGATAAACTGCAAGGAATCACAGCAGATCTCCAAAAGAACCACCCAAGTGCGAAGGTGATATTCAAGGCCATCGACTTGCAAAGCTATGAAGCTGTTGAGAATGCCGTTAACGAGACGGCGAAAGAGATTGGCACCATCGACATTTTGATAAACAATGTGAGTGATCATTCATACTATACAGGCCATCCATATCCAAATTAAAAGCCAGCGCTAAATGAAAATAATAGGCTGGACTCGCTCTAGGCGCACCATCTGCATTCCCAGACCTCAAAGTGTCCGACATTGTGACCATGAACAGCACAAACATTAACGGACTCATGTTCGTGACATATGCCGTCCTCAATTCATCTATGATGAGTCGAAAGGAGGGTACAATTCTCAATGTAACATCCGTTACAGGACTAGAAGTTCCTCCGTTCCCCGGTGAAGCAGTGTATCATTCGAATAAAGCTGCCCAGGAGGCCTTCACGAATGCTCTGCGCAACGAACTTACTGGAACCAATATTCGAGTTCTGGCCCTGCGTCCTGGGGTCGTGGCAACGAATTTTCACTCTCTTCGGGTGGGACACGATAAGGAGATGTATGATAGCTTCATTGAGGGATACACGTGAGTTTAGCTTTCAGCAGATAAACCTTGATACCTGCGCTGGCCAGTGCTGACACTTGATTCGACACTTAGCCCCCTTGAATCAGATGATATTGCCGGTGCGGCAATGTATATGCTCAACCAACCACTGAATATATCTGTAAAGGCTCTGGATGTGGTCCCTTCCGGTAAGTTCATAGACCAACGTTCGGCGAACAGTTAGCTGACTGCAATCAGCGCAAAGATCACTTAACGTATTCGACCGGGGTTGGAGTGAGAGGAATGCATGATTTGTGGGAAAATGTCAATCGTAGTTAACCGTGACCATTGTTGCCAATGAAAGCCACAGAGCCATTCTACCATGTCTGCAGGCACCAATGCCATTAAACCTTCGGGTTTACAGCCTCCCACATGGCTGACCGAAATTATAACCTTATTTCATCAAATGCGTGGCAAAGTTCTGGACTCTGTGCTGCCCATAGGACCGACTCGGCGAACCATCGCGGATTTTGGCAGACAACTATGACATTTCGGGGCTCGTGCCGAAGACCTCGATACGAAACGCCGGATGGTGTATGTTTCAGCGCAGTAATCTACACTTTCGAAGCTTCTTCCATAGTCATACTCGGAGTGAATCGGTGGATAAGTTCGTTGGACGAAAGGAGCAGCTGTATAGTAATCCACTCACGCCACGTGATCCTGATGACCAATCCTAGTTTCGTTCTGCGATAAGTCCCGAGGGAAGCAGTGAGTTTACTCCGCAAACTCTCCATCAAAAACTAAAAAGATTCCTACATCCTGAACCACAATAAAAAATAGCGTCATTTCACGCCTCTTCCGATCCGCTACTACGGGCGGACTTAAAATATTTCGCGCTTAATGTACTCCCGCACAACGACATTGCTGAGCAGAAGCTGCCGATACTTCCTGCGGTCTCCCGTTGCTCCGAAAGCGTCCTTTTCGATTACCGCGCGCACCCTCGCAGCCGCCAACGCAGCCATGGCCGATACTGCCCAGGGAGCTGTGACTCCGGACTTGCTGAGGGGGAAATTGGTAGACCAGCTGCAGGCGCAGCATGTTGAGATTGAGGATTTGTCAGGTGCGTCATAGCTCATCTTTTTTTTTAAAAAAAGAAAAAAACGGTTTTGCTTTCCCCGGCCATATAACCGAACCCGTGAATACGTTCTACGTGTTAGAGAGTTGCGCTAACTAGGATTCTCTGGAGTATAGGAGGCTGCGGACAAGCATTCCAGGCCGTTATCGTTTCGCCGCAATTCGAGAAAAAGACTATGCTTGCACGTCATCGGTTGGTGAACTCGGTCTTGAAGGCGGAGATTGCCGCTATCCATGCTTGGACACCTAAATGTTACACACCTGAGCAGTGGATTCAGCAGCAGGGAGGATCTGCTTAAAATTATTATTTCCATACAGGCAGGCCTGCCACGAATGCGGGACCGGGGTTGATATATCCGGGGGTTTCTCATGTCCTTTGAAAGATCGCAATTAGGCGTTGGATGGTTGATTCATGTATATTTACTCTTGATATTCCAGAAATGATACACTATATATTGTACGTCGTTGGATATGAGTGACGTAATATTGCGCAGAACATCTATAGATGCTTGTACAAGTCTTTGTTATATTAATTTTAAATGTAGAGAGATAATCCTTGCTTATCTATCCGAGGACTTTCTCGGCCGTAGAAACTATTCACTTGTTAGCATGATGCATAAATACGCGGAAGGTTGGATAATACCATTGACTCCCGCGTTGTCAGGCTCAACAAAGGCCTCCTTGACCTTGCCATTCTCAACAAGAAGCGCATAGCGCTTGCTGCGCTGGTTACCAAAGATCGAGGTACTGTCGAATGTGACATCGAGAGCCTCTGAGAACTTTCCGGTGGGATCACCCAAGAAGCGAATCTGTGTCGACATTAGGAGACGTAAAACAAAATTGAGCAAGGGATGTTAACTCACGCCGCTCTTGCCCTGGGGATCAAGGGAGGTACCCCAAGCCTTGGTTCTGCAATCGCCGTTAGGTTTATCAGGGAGTTTGATTGGACATGGTTATAGGCTTACACGAAAGGATCGTTGACGGCAACCACGAAGACCTTGCCAGCGTCCTTGAGCTTGGGGTGGCTGATGTAGCCAGGGACATGGGTGCTGGAGCAAGCAGGGCCTGTGGAATGGAATTAGGATCGCAATTGCTTTCTTGTTGCTCTCTTAAGCAAGGGGAAAGAACGCACTGAAAGCAGCGGGAACGCCGACAATGACACCCTTGCCCTGGAGCTCCTTGGCGAGGTTAACCTTGTTCCCTGGAGAGTCCTCAACTAGGACATCAAGGTCTGGGATGGAGTCTCCCTTCTGAACGAAGGCTGGTGCAGTGCTGTGGAACAAAGCCCTTTGGCTGAGAGCGCGGGGAACGCTGGTAGTAAGGCGGCGAGCGGCGAACATGATTTCTTTTTTGGTGGCTAAACGATAAAAAGAGGGATCTGCGATACAGAGCTTAAAGTTGTGGGATTGGTTTCAGGTACCGTTCCTGAGAGCTGTCAAGTGTTTGGGGTGAGGTTTGAGAGGATGGGAGCTGTCGCTGGGAGCTTGGGGTAGCCTGAGTAAGCTCCTCACGTCATACGTTTAATTTTTGCTAATTATCCAGGGCAACCCCAACGTTTTCTACATACTACTTCACCGTGTAGTCCGTTGTCGCCGCTCAACATCTATAATCCCACGTTTGAAACAGTAGTCAAGCAAGATAGAGTTTATATGGAGCGACAAGTTTTGCTTTCAGTGAGTTGTGCGTGGATCTAGTGGGTAGTCACCACTACCAGCGAACTTGTGTCTTAAGGCGTACCAGTGCGCAGGATTGCTCAGATAGGTACTGTCCACGAATACCCATGGGCACCGGCAAAGGTGGTTGGGTTGGTTTGCCTCTCTTCTCCAAGCTTTTGGTGATCATCGGAGTGAAGTGAAGGTCAAACAGTTTTCCGAAATGAGAGCGGATATTGTCGGGTGAGAGGAGACACGAAGGATCGTTTTCTTCACCTGTCCGGGGATTGTAGAGAGCAAGGTGCCTTTTAACGTTCGACATCACACAACTACAGTCGAATTAGATCTCGTCCTATTCCCAATTGCTGAGCGACAATCGCGGCTCCAGCAAATTAAGTGACAACGCTCTGGTTGCAACTTGGGCATCCTATGAGGTCATTGTCTGCGTTTCGCGATGGCTACGGGAGATATAGCAGAGATCGGCACTGATGGACAAAGCTAATGCAGACCGACTCCCGGGTATACCTGGATAGGTAAGGAGCATCGCTGCTCGTGACTCTGCCCCATCTCCTGATTTTGTGGTTCAGAGGGTGCTTCGAAATCGCATGGCGTAGATAGGTGTGTACAGTACGGTGTAGACAACAGATGATAATAATGGAAGCGAAATCCCGCTGGTAGAGGTCCGTGGAGGAGAAAAGCCCAGGCATCGAATCAGGGCTGGGGATCAGAGGGCAGGTCTTGCGCCCCACCATGACTCCCCTCCATGTTCAAGGTTCTAATGCGCCTTTTGCTGCAGACGCATTGACTATTTGCCTCTGATTCCCTGCAGTGAGAATGTAAATGGTCTTTCATCTGGATATCAGGTGACAAACCGTTGGAAGCCAAGTGGTACTGCAATAGTAATAAGGTGGCCGAGGTCGCATTGGGCTTGTTATTGAATTCTTCGAGAATCCCTCATTCGCTCCCCTCGAAGGAGACTGGAAAAATTCACAGAAATAGCAATAATAATAAAGACAGGGTCTCAGGAAGAATTCAGGGAGGGAAAATACCACCTCAGAAAAAAAGAGGAAGAAAAAACCAACGGTTGTGGCTGGTGAGCACAAGAAAATGGCTTTCTATTAATATGCAAGATTATTCAACGCTCTGACTGTTCGTTGCGCCCGTCCGTCCCACCAAACTACTACAACCGACTCCTCTCTCTTCTCTCTGCCCTCTTGCGACCGTCTTCGCGAGTGCGTCTTTCTTCTTCTTCTTCTCCATCTTTACCTTTCGTTCTTTTTACTCCGGTTTTCCTTCTACGACTTGGACGGGAGTTTAAAGACTTGATCTTGATCCTTCACGAGCGTCCTTCGACGTTCTGCACAGTGCTGAAGTCTGTTCCTCGTTCGATCGGTCGCGACCCATCTAGCCCATGATGGACAGTGGCCAGACCACCACCAGCACCGCCCCCTCGGGCAACTCCAGCGATTTTGTGAGTATTGAGTCTTGATAGTTGTTTTTTTGGAGATACGGCTTCTTCAGATTATTGCTGTGTTACGAGTTGCTAATAAAATGTATAGGTTCGCAAACTCTACAAGTGAGCCATCTCCTTTTCTTTTTCTTTTTCGGAATTTAGTCCAAGTTTCCCCCTGGCCGTGACCGTTCGTTCGCTCTTCCCGCCAACTTCCCTCACTGCGCCCTGATGTTTGCTACTTTTATCTTAAGCACAATGCTTTGCTTTTTATCCAGCTCATTTTTCGCTAATGCTGTCTTGCAAGGATGCTGGAGGATCCATCGTACGCAGAAATCGTGCGGTGGGGTGACGAGGGCGATAGTTTCGTGGTCCTAGAGGTAACCGCATCCCCGATCGCCGGACTTGACCTCACGATCATCACTCGCTGACCATACTCCAGTGCGAGAAATTCACTAAGACAATTCTTCCGAAACATTTTAAACACAGCAATTTTGCCAGTTTCGTGCGACAGCTCAACAAGTACGACTTTCATAAAGTACGGCAAAATAATGAGGAGAATGGACAGTCGCCATATGGACAAAATGTGGGTTTCCCCCGAGTCACAGCTGTTAGTATATACAGCTCCTAACAGACATTATCCAGGCTTGGGAATTCAAGCACCCCGAGTTTAGAGCCAACAGCAAGGAGTCCCTCGATAACATTCGACGAAAAGCACCGGCGCCACGGAAGCAGGCACAGGCTCATGACGACTCCGTTCCGACACAACAGATTGATCTTTTAAATCAACAGATCGTTGCGCAACAACAGCAGATCCAACACATCTCCGATCGCTTCGCACAGATGTCCGTTGACCATCAGCTGATGTTGCAGGAGGTTTTGAGGGTTCAAAAGACAGTCGTTAATCACGAAAACGTTATACATCAGCTAGTAAACTACCTCGTTTCTATCGATGCTCGTCAAAAGCGTGACAACAAAGCTGCACCATTCCCGACCCAAGCTGGCGCCAACATGAGCCCCGCCCAAGTGACCCCCATGGACGATGGGGTTTCAACTCCATTGCAACAAGCATCTAAGCTGTTGAGCGACATGAACGCTGAGATACAATTCAATCTTGGTGGTGTCGAACCCATGGCTGAGCCGCCCAAAGCTGGTGTAGTTTCCACTCCTGCCATGGAAACTGGACCCCGACAGCGAGTCGCGCCTCCAGCTCCTGCTGTGCCGGCCAATCCTGCTCTTGTATACCCAAAAATGAATGGCGAGATGGAGCCTGTCGTCTATCCAGTTGGCACAACCAATGGAATAGATCCAATGTACGGCGATCATGTCAATAATGTTCCCTACAGCGTTCCTCCCAAGCAGGAGATGGACGATCGGCGGCAATTTCCTGAAAATAGGAAAAAGAGCAACCATGTTGACCCAGGTTGGATGCGCAGCCCACGAATTCTACTTGTTGAGGATGATGCGACATGTCGCCAAATCGGTGGAAAGTTCCTATATTCTTTCTCTTGTGAAATAGACACCGCGGTATGTTGTTTCCTTGCCACGCTAGATCATCCTTGCTAATGCGCCTTCGCAGCTCGATGGGTTAGAGGCCGTGAACAAGGTTCAAGACGGCTCGAAGTATGACCTAATCCTAATGGATATAATAATGCCTAACCTGGATGGCGTTTCTGCATGCCATCTTGTTCGTCAATTTGACCGGACACCGATTATCGCTATGACTTCCAATATTCGGAGTGATGATATCCAACTCTACTTCCAGCACGGTAGGCAATTCCGGTCATATGTGCGGTTGTAAATGCAATGCTGACACTTAGTAGGAATGGACGATGTCCTTCCAAAGCCTTTCACCCGAAAAAGTCTTTTGGACATGTTAGAGAAACACCTAGTTCACTTGAAGACCGTTTCGCAGGGTATTGAGGGAACCCAGCCCACAACGCCGGCAACGATTCCGGGTCAAAGCTCCGCTGCACAATCGGTTACTGTCAAAGATGATAGCTCTCCTAGCCAATCACCTGCAGCTGCCATGACTGCTTGGCAATCTCCGAATCAATTCCAGCCCATGGCCGCAGTTCCGGCAAACATTCCGCAGGTTCAAGGCCAGTATGTTCCGGCAAACCCCGCCCCAGCCGCCTATGCTATTGATCAGAATGGAGTGCAATACCCAGCACCTCCTGCGGTGCCGATGGGTGCTGCAGGCCCGAGTCAAGCTCGACCCCATCCACGACGGCATATCTCCGAAATAAGCAACGGGGCTGAGAACCCAAATCTCGCGAAACGGCAACGCATGTATGCGCCACCGCCCCAACCTATGGTCGGCTCAATCCAAGCGACACGTACAAACTAATAGCGGTTCTCGAACTGTATAATTTCTTTTTTGACAAACTACCGCTACTATCTATACCCACATGCTTTGCAATTCCATGCGATAATTCCAGGAGAAGCGCATTTTGGA